CACACACCCACTTACATTACTGGTCATTGGTAGTACAAGACTGAGATCACTAAAGCTATGGTAAGCTATAGCTTTTCATTACATTTGAACCAGAGCATAGCTATGAACTGCTTGCTCTAAGGAGTCAATGTTTGATGGCATCATTTGCATGGCCAGGCTGGATGTCTGGGAAAGGATCCAAAAAATGAGAAGCAATAGCAGCTTGTCAGTGGTATATCAAACTGAACCGATTTCATTAACCCAGAGCTTACTGAGAATAACCTTTCCCTAAACAAGATGCTTTAATTACCTTTGCAGAGAAAAACAAAATGAAAATTAATTCTTCCAACTGTACTTCATTTAGGCTTTGCAAAGCATGACTTTTATGATGCATAGTTAAGCTCCCCAATTATATACCATGCTTCCAAGGGCAACCCATGAATTATAAAACAATCCCATTTAGGTTTCCTGGATCTAAATCCTACTGTGTACAATAGATGTGTGTAAATATATTCCGGGTAAGTACACTTAATACTGTAGCTTATAAGTGCTATTATAATTATTATTGTTGTTGCTGTTATTATATTTATATCCCACCTCTTTCCAATCCAGAACTTCCTGGCTTTCATTCACTATTCCATCAATCAACACTTCAATTCACAAGTTCATTCTAGTCTCTCCATAGCTCAGCATCAGCATTTAGAAAGACAGCAAAAGCACCAACTGTGGTTTATCAATTTAAACATGTTGCACTTTAATTTATACTCATACAAACCAGTTTCTGATTGCAAAATAATCCCAACCCCCACATCGCCAATAGGGCAGTGTCCTTGGCCTGCAATGAGAAACAGAAACAACTTCTAATACAAAATATCAGCCTGTGACTCCAACACAATTCCTTTTTAAAACTCTGATACGATTTTTTTCAACACCTTTTGTGTGATGAGTGCAGCTTCAAAAAATAGCAAGATGTGTTTTGTGTATTCTGGTTGGTCAATAAAGGTATTGATATTCTGTGGATTTTGTATCTTGTTTTAAAGGTTTTTAAGATCAGGTCAGGAGTGCTGTGTTTTTTTTTTTAGCTCTGATTATGTTTTTATAGATTTTAATTGTGACTTTTTAATACCATTTATATTAAAATGCTTTTAATGTAAGTTGCTTTGAGTCTCCTTGTGGAGAGAAAAAGAGGGATATGAACAAGAAGAAGGACAAGTGGGATCACGAGCCTGAAAAAATTACAGAAAATGAACATGTCAAACTACTATGGGACTTCTGAATTCAGACTGACAGAGTTTTGGAACAAAATACTCCTGACTTCATGATTGTGGAGAAAAAAACAAGTATGGATTGTCAATGTTGCAATCCCAGGTAACAGCAGAATTGATGAGAAGCAACTGGAAAAGCTTACACAATATGAGAATTTAAAGATAGAACTGCAAAGACTTTGACACAAGCCAGTAAAGGTGGTCCCAGTTGTGATCGACACACTGGGTACAGTGCCTAAAGACCTTGGCCTGCACTTAAAAACAATTGGCACTGACAAAATTACCATGTCAGCTGCAAAAGGCCACCCTACTCAGATCTGCAAGCATTATTCGCCAATACATCACACAGTCCTAGACACTTGGGACATGTGATCCAATACAAAAGCGAGCACAGTGATCTTGTTTGCTGTGTACTAATCTTGTTATATATAAAATAATAACAATAACGATGATGATGATGATGATGATGATGATGATGATGTGCCAACTGGAGTTTCCTGTGATGTCAAATTGAAGCACTTTGTTTCCCACTTAAAGATATTGTTCCCAGAGCTGTACTATAAAGTATTACCCACAGGGTCCTTTTAATATGATAAAATCTATGTCGGTGGAGAAAGAACAACAGAGGCTGAAAGCACTTTGTGTTTCTTCATTTCATCCTTCAGAACTAACAGCAAGCATACATGTGAAATGCTGTATAGCAGAGAGCAACTGGGAGTAGAGAAGCAGAATATCCCACACAGTTCTCTATTTGAACATTCCTCCTAAAGCATTGTATTTTATTATAACACATCCTCACCGTTAATATCCCGCAAAGAAGCCAAGGTAAAGTTACTGGGCTAGCACTTAGACTAAGTGCCAGTATGAATATATTAAGATTTTATATAAAACATTTTTATTTTATTTTAGAGGCAGAGAGTATTGTACCAAAGCCTCAGAGATGACAATACAGCTTTCATTTCATTTTCACAATCGGAGAGTGCTCATGAAATCACATATTCCTATTCTCTCTGAGTCTCAGCCACTAGAAATAAGTAACATAGGGATGATGGCTGGAATCCATTAAGTCACATCTGAATGTATAAGCTAGAATTAAACAAATGTTTCATATTCACATTTGGAAATTACCTGCCCCACCCAGGTGTCAAGGAAATGTTTACTGCTTTGTTATTTACTGATGTGTTATTGGGCTTGGCCTCATGTAAGCCGTCCCGGGTCCCCTTGGGGAGATAGTGGCGGGGTATAAATAAAGTTATTATTATTATTATTATTATTATTTACAAAAAAACATTTTCAAAAATTGTCCCAAAATAGCCTTTAAATGACAGAAGGGGAATTTCAACCACATTCTGGGCTCATCCTGAGTTGGTACAGACCAAAGAGGGGTATTATTGAAACAATATATGGAACCCCTTTATGTTCTCCAGGGAGGAACTAATATAGCCCCCTCCCTTTTTATGGATGTCTATTTCTACCTTAAAATAACAACATAAACCAAAGTTCTCACCAATCATGAAATACAGAACTACAGGGCCTGGATATACACTGTACAATCATACAATTTAACTGCATTACTATATATGGTCAGTGTAGATCCATATAATTCAGTTTGAACTTCACTGCAATGCATTACATAGGTAGACACTTACCATATTATACAGTGTCAAACTGCATTATTTGGCAGTGCAGATCAAGCCTAAATCTACTTTCTTCTCCTTACTATCGGTACTGTTACTATCAACTCTATTTACAACTCATATTTTCTCCAAAATCTATGAAGCAAACACTACTAAACAGAGTTAGAGTGCTTCATATATGGGCTGTAGCCTGACTTAATTAAGATTCTGGTACTATGTCTAAGTGCTAGTTCCAGCAAGAATAGATCCAATAATTCAAGGCATTTTATGTATGTGTTGAATTACCATTCAGTAACTGTTTAATTATGTCTACTCCCGCAACTAGATTCAGGTCCGAGTCTTCAAGATCAAGAAATAACAACTAATTTTAATGTATAATGCTAGTACCATCATTCAGTCACACTAGATTGGAATATATAAAAAATACAATATTCTATCAGAGGACTTGTGGTGATGCAATAAGACTTTCCCTTTTTACCTGCATGTCTCTGTGCATTGTCTATCCTGAAAAAAGATTTAGGGAGCAAAGAAGGCCTGCAAGGAGTGGGGAAATCTGTTCTACTAAAAGTATGCATTCCAGTGGACAACTCACATCCTTAGACTTTACCCAACATAGCATAAGCCTAGTTAAAGTATTTCACATAAACCATTACAAAGTTCATGACGGACTGCTTATCTCTAACTGTACTTCTTTGGGTAGTCTGCGAACTCGCACGTGGTGAGTTAACAGATGACCACTCAATTAATCATTGTTATGTAAGCCTCTCTTTTAATTCATGGCCTGTTTTTCTGTTGAATACATTGTACATTTAAAAACAATTATAAAATGTAATTTTGTTCCAGAAAAGCGTAATGTCACAAGCTTTACATGCATTTTTTTAAATAAACCTTTGGCTGAAATGTGCTGTATAATGCACAAATCCAATTACTCTTCTGCATTTTGTGTTTCACAGCACGTAACTTCTTTCATTGGCCTATTTAAATTGATTTTTTTCCTCCTTAATGAGACACTGACACAAGGGCAAGCATATTTTAATACTAAAATATCAACACAATAACTTAAATCACATGCATAATAATAATTATAACCCCTCATGTTATTAGTGGTCACTGGAAATCTACACATGTCATCTGCTTGAAAAGCTATGGGGATTAACTTCTTGATCCCAGGCACATTTATTAAGAAGTTTGCATTTAATTTTGGGAAATCATCTATCAAATAAACTAATACAGGCTAGTGACTCATTTTTCTTAGTCATCCTTCATAGTCAAGATGCAGCTAGAAAGAACACTATTTGAGATGTTCTCTTCCAAGTATATGAATAAGGCATGCCTTTATATTCACACTCTTAGTCAGGGGCAAGGTAGTCATACCACAGCAAACTGGAGAGTGTGTTGACCAGTGTTACTACAGAAAACATCATATAAAGGATTTTTTAAGAATTAGCAGGAAGTATTTTTGTTCTGTAAAATCCATACTGAGACATGGAGCAAAAACATTCCTATTATGCAAGATGACAACAGTGTGAATTGTAATTAAATGTCAAGAGGGTATAGTTATAAAGTGAATAACTATCTCTAAATTATTAATACAAAATTGAATTATCTATACAACTAAGTATGCATCAGGATGCTTTTAATAAAAGCATAAATGCTGCAAGCTCTGATCCTCTAAGAATGTATAATAATAAACAATACTAAATATAAGCATTGGGGTGGGCACAAAGATATTTAGAGATGATAGTGTGCTCTGTTATGAATAGTAATGAGTTATCATGTATATACATTGAATACTCAATCTCTCACACATACACGCACCATTGGCACCATCACCATTAACACAGACCAGTGGTTTTTAGTGAACTTCCAGCTCCAGCTCAGAGGTGTGTTCTGAGGTTGTAAATCCATTGCAAACATTTAGCTTTCTTTGGTTACATTGGTGCACTGAAATCTAAGCATGCCAACAAGTTACACATTCTTCTCAGTATTGATGCCAGAACTATATACACTTCAAGTATGACTGAACAATAGCTAATAAGGCTAAAATGTGTGTTTTTTTATAATGAACACAACTATTTCCACAAACAGAAGCCCTTAGCAGCAATCTATCATTTCTTACCTCATAGGACCACACACACTGAGTTCCACCAAACCGCCGAACACATCGACCCACTTCTACATCTTCATGAGTTGTGTACATTTCTCGAAGGCATTCACCTATGTGTGGCACCATCCTCCTAAGAACTTCACGACTGAAGATCATCCCAGGACCGCCCATGCAGAAGTTTTCTCCAGGCTCAAGACCAAGTTTTCCAAGTTCTTCAATATTTCCCAGTCCTGTTTGTCCCAAATAGAGAGGTTTACTGCTGTTCAGTGACCGAAGAAACTCCTCCAACTTTTCTCCTATTTGGAGAGAGAGAGACAGAGAGGAAAAAAATTATTTCTACCACATCATCTAATGAATTTATCTTCACAACTGTTGTTATTGTTGTGTGCCTTCAAGTCACTTTTGATTAATAGTGACCCAAAGGTGAAACTCTCATGGAATTTTCTTAGAATTTGTTCAGAGTGGGATTGCCCTTGCTTTCGTCTGAGAGTGTGATTTGCCCAACAGTCATGCAGTGCATTTCCAAGGCCTTGTGGTACCACTGTCCTAGTCCAACTCTAATAGCAACACAACATTCTAGATCCCAATTGGGTCACACCGTTTACAGAAAACCCACACACACGGATAGATATCTACATAAAAACTCCAACCATCACCCAAGTCAAAAAAGAAGCACAATTAAAGCCTTGGCAGACCGTGCAAAAAGAATCTGCGAACCCCACCTCCTCCAAGATGAACTGAACCACCTCAACTGGGCTCTACAGGCCAATGGATACTCCACCTCAAACATCAGAAGAGCTGCAAGACCGAGAACAAGCCACGAGAGTAAAGATGAAGATCCACCCAGAGGAAAAGTGTTCTTGCCATACATCAAGGGAACCACTGACCGCATAGGGAAACTGATGAGGAAACACAACATACAAACCACTTACAGACCCACCAAGAAAATCCAACAAATGCTACGTTCAGCAAAGGACAAGAGGGATCCACTCACCTCTGCAGGAGTCTACCGTGTACCATGCAGCTGTGGACAAGTCTACATAGGGACCACCAAATGCAGCACCCAGACACGCATCAAGGAACATGAAAGGCACTGCAAACTACTCCAACCAGAGAAATCAGCCATAGCAGAGCACCTGATGAACCAACCTGGACACAGCATATTATTTGAGAACACAGAAGTGCTGGACCACTCACAACCACCATGTCAGACTACACAGAGAAGCCATTGAAATCCACAAGCATGTGGACAATTTCAACAGAAAGGAGGAAACCATGAAAATGAACAAAATCTAGCTACCAGTATTAAAAAACTCAAAAATTACAACAGCAAAACAACAGAGGGGAAACAAACAGGCACATGAAATCACTCAACAAAAGATTCCCCCCAGGCACTTCCAAGCCATTGAATGCAAATCAAGGTGATCAGCTGAAACATTCACAGCTAGCCCCAGCAAACAAAAGTCCTTTGTCTCACCCTGGTCATTCCACAGATATATAAACCCATTTTTCCTAGTCCCAACAGACCTCATTACCTCTGAGGATGCTTGCCATAGATGCAGGCGAAATGTCAGGAGAAAAATTGCCTCCAGAACATGGCCATATAGCCCGGAAAAACCTACAACAACCCATTCTAGATCCCCCTTACAACTACAGTTTAAGCTATGATCTTGATCTAACAAATATTATAAATGTGATTAAAATCCAACAAGAAGAATCTGGAGTCTTTTTGAAACACATCTGGACTGAACTACTACTGAGGTTAATGTACCCTATAAAATAAAGTATTTATTTTATCTGCTATCTTTCTCCTTGAATGAGACCCAACAATAAACATTTTAAAAAACAATGTGAAAATCTCATTTAAATCAACATACAAGCATTTTAAAAGTATACAAAGTAAAATATAAACAAAGAACACATTCTACTATAAAGCTTCCCCTTCCCGAGAGTGATTACATATTAAAAACCTGCTTGAACAAAAACACCTTTCCCTGTCAGTGAAAGCAAAGGAGGATGGGGAAAAGCCTTGTCTTTCATGGAAGGGCATTTCACAAGGTGGAAATAGCCAGTGAGAAGACCTTCTCTCATGTCCACAATAAGCAAGTCTGTGGTGGTAGCAGGACTAAAGTTCTCACAGGTTCACACTGGGTGATATGGTCTTTTCTCATGTTGTATGGGGCTTCACAGGTCGCAACTACCACTTTGAATTGTGCCCAACAACAAACCAATACCCAGTGAAACTGTTTTAGCAAGTGAGTCATTCATTTTTAGAAGGCAAATGGTGTTTGTTTAAAGCAAAGGTTTTGCTCAACAATCCACAGAGCCAGCAGAGCATTTCCATTTTCTCATCAGATTTCCAATGATTCTCATCTGCATCTAGTTTCAATCTCCTACCCTGCACAACATGCTGGTAGGAAGGAAAACTTCAGGGGCAGTTTTTAAGCAAGTGCAAAGATGTACTATGGGAAGCAGAGGTGGGGAAAGTCCAAGCAATCAAGCACAACTTATCTCAGTGTTCTATAAATACCAGCCAGTGCCATGTAACATTTTGCCATTTCATAAATATGATCCATGTTAAAACAGAAAAGGAATTTGCCATTTTCCTGCCACAAATGAATGGCAATTCCTACTTCCTGGACTAGAAGCCAAACTGCATCAGAATCAATTCACTAACATAGAACTGATACTACATGCTCTAATGGTGCTGTTACATTTATGCATTTTCTGACTCTTCAGGCTTGTAAGAGAGGAATATTAGACAACCTCAACACATTTATGCTTCATTCCTCCAGCTAAATCCAAAAGCAATAAAGGTATGCAGGAAACCATCAAAGTACCTGTCAGAAAAAGGGGGAAAGAATCAGAGCCATCAAATTAAATCCATTCCTCTTTCAAAGGCAGTGTCCAAAATCTTACTGTTACTCCTTACTGATGTAGATCCACTGAATCACCTGGATGTGCTTGCATGATGAGACATCATTCAACATTTGATTCAACAGATCTATTCCATATGGAACTAACCAACAGAGTAACAATAAATGCCTTGCCTCAAGCAGACAAGAGTTCTTTCTCCCACCCTGGACATTCCAGAGATATATAAACCTCACTTGCGTAGTTTCCAACAGACCTCACAACCTCTGAAGATGCCTGACTTAGATGTGGGTGAAACGTCAGTAGAGAATGCTTCTGAAACATGGCCATACAGCTTGGAAAACACACAGCAACCCAGTTATTCCAGTCGTGAAAGCCTTCGACAACATAACAATAAATGTTTCCATATTTTCCCAAAAAAATACCGCACTGAAAGCAATGGAATTTATCTTAGAAAGAATCTATTTAAAGAAGTAGTTAAATGTTATTTAAAATAATGCCATAAGATTGAATTAATTTTACAGAACCCTCTTTCATCTTCCTGAACACTGCTTTAACTTCAAAAGTTATAGCATAAAACATTTAGTATCAAATCCACTATTTTTAAGGTTTGGTGAAGTTTTAATTGGTATATGAAAATCAAACACAAGTTAAAGCCCTTGGTGAACACATTTGTATTCCTGCACTTTCATCATTAAATGTATTTATTGGAAGAATTGTGTTTTGTATAAAGAAAGATATGCACAAGGCAATTTCATATAATGAATTAGAGTCAATCGGCACATCCATCTCATCACATACAATTTTATATTCATTTATTCAGAAGCAAGTCACGCTGAGTTTCACGAGGCTTACTCTCAAATATGTGGATAAAACTGTAACCCAAAATTTACTTTTATCTTCAAGTAACTTTTCTTGTCACCCAACTGAAACTGACCCGCTTTGTATGCAATACTGTAGAGCAGGGGTTCTCAACTTGGGGGTCGTTAGGCCATTTTGGGGGGGGGGTCGCGAAGCTGCCTTGGTTGGCCCCACCCCCTCCAAAATGGCTGCCATGTGGGCAGCCTTTCATCCCAGCCCATGCGCCTTTCCAAACTCAGAGGGGCGCGTGGGCCAGGCGGAGGGCTGGCCGCAAGGCCTCACCATGCGGGCGGCCTTTCTGCCCGGCCCATGCGTCTTTCCGAACTCGGAGGGGTGCGTGGGCCAGGTGGATGGATGAAGCCTCTGGCACCTGTTGGCTCCTCCCTGCCTTGTGCTCCTTCTATATCATTTAAATGCAGTAATAATTCTGGTCTCCCATCTGCCAATAAATATCAGGTGCTCCAAGTTATATTTCAGAGGAATGAACTGGCAAAACCACTACACAGTATTCACTGCCTAAGAAAGCACTATGACGTTTATGAGGTAACCACAGGCAACTTGAAGGCACTGGCATACACACACACACAAAATAACTCTGCACTGGACTTGTATCCTAACATTTCATTGACTTGAAGAGAGCGTGCACCCAGAGAACAAAAACTAATAACCTCTGAAATCTCTGGATCGTCCAAACAAGGTGCTATCTATGTTTGCTGACATTTACAGACATTTGAGGGAGATAATGCACTTCTCCAGCAAGACCAAGGAAGAAGTTCAATGGGTGTTACCCCAGATGGGTGGGTAAAGACTTCGAGCCATGTATAGATGTGCATAACATTGTGCTGTTAGAAGGCACACTCACACTTTTTGCTTTTAAAATTTGTGCAATTCTTCAAAATATCTTGGGATCAGCCAATTCCTTTTGCCCTGCAGTTGGGAGGCATTTCCAGATACTGACAGGACTTATAACAACCCCAACAAAGAGAATATGATACACTTTAGAAGACAGAGACACGCTAGCAATTCCATCTCCAGTGCTAAAAGCAAAATTTAGAACTTTTAAAACACATCTAAGAGTGAAGTAAACATTTATGACTCATTAATCCTACTATGAAGTAATATACCAATGTTCCCTGCTACTCGGAGAGGGAAAACATTGATTATGTTGATGAGTGAGTAACTCCTCAAGCTCATCCGCTTTCATGCAGTGGCCACAGAGCTATTGGCATCAGGATTTCACTGATAAATCAGCTAGCATGCCAGATCAACTTTGGGGGAAAGGATAATCCCAGTATTAGAAAACTAATTATATTAAAGCGATGCTTTATGTTTACTACACTTTAAAAAATTGATCTGCTTTATTTTACAAAAAATCCCATTTTGAGTCTATTCATGATATCAGTTCTGCAGTTGTCTTACATATTACATTACTCAATGTGGCTTACCACCTGCACTTTCAATGTCCCGACTTCTCTACTCTGACAGATACAACATATGAATCTCACCACCTTCTTCATCTGCTTCACATTTCCCCTTATGAAGTTCTTCCTTACTAAAGCTCTTGAAACAAAATGTTAGTAGTCTTCAACAGGCCCCCAAATTGTTTTTATTGTAACTGATGTTAACAAGCCTAGTACACAATTGTATCCATCTACTGCAAACCATTCAAATTTCAATGAAATTTGGAGAAGAAACAAAAGGAATCCAATTTATCCAGTCTCCTACTGAAGTTGCCCCTTAGTATAGTCAGTTACTATTTTGTGTGCGCGTGTACCTTCACGTTGTCTGTCAATGTATGGCGACCCCGTGGATTTTATAGGATTTTCTTAGGCTAGGAATATTCGTGGGGTATTTGGTCATTTGGTCATTAAAAGCTACATACAGCAGCTTTATATTCATTGTCAGTCTCCCATCCAAGTACTAACCAGGGTGGACTTTGCTTGGTTTCCAAGAACTGGGGAGATCAGGTGCATTTAGGATAGCTAAATAAATCCCTTATCAGGTTACAGTCTTCCGTGTCTTCTTTTGGGACAAGCTTTCACATTTTTTATCACTACTACAAAGCAGCTGACCTTGATGATTTGTCCTGAGCCCAAAGGAGATCTTGAAATAGAATGAAATTGTCCAAATCCAAAATAATACAAATGAAGAATGGTTGGCCTACATTACATGTTTCTATGAAACAAGAAATGTGGGAGGGGGTGATTGGGTTGTTCATGTCAAACAGTGAAGAACTTGGTATTTTTTCTCAAGATGAGTGGAAGAAAAGGTACAAATCTAAGAAGGGAGGAAGAGTGAGTGACACAGACACCAGAAACCAACCAGTTTTGACCTTTCCTCTTCCTAGAAGTAAGTAGACTACGGAGTGATTTAGCTGACATAACTTTCCAAGAAACTTGCACCAGCGAGCAAGAATCAAAATGGGTGAGATTCTGAGATATCTAACTGAAACTAACACAGCATGCTCACCTCTTTAACTCTAAATTGGGGTTTAGAGTACATGACCTCAAAATACAAACAAGAGGAGGCTGAAACACCCAATTCTAGCTGACAATCTAACATATAGATGATGGCATCTCAGCCTTCACCCCAGTCCACCTGGAAGGAAAAAATGTAAAAGCTCTGAAGGGGAGATTTTCCCAGCAATTATGCCCATGGGCTTGGTTCTTTTGGTACCCATTACTTGGCCATCATTACAGATCCCAAGAGTGAGAATTGGACTTCATTTGCTTTTCACCCTCTTCAGTCAACATTTTAGAAGCTCCCGATGATGCAATGGGTTAAACCCTTGTGCCAGCAAGACTGCTGACCAATAGGTCAGTAGCTCGAATCCAGGGAGAGCGGGTTAAGCTCCCTCTGTCAACTCCAGCTCCCCATGCGTGGACATGAGAAGCACTCCACAAAGATGGTAAAAACATCAAACATCCAGGCATCCCCTGGACAACATCCTTGCAGATGGCCAATTCTTTCACACCAGAAGTGACTTACATTTTCTCAAGCCACTCCTGACACACACAAAAACTCATCATTTTAAAAGCATTTTTAATTCAAATGAATAAATATAAAAGAGAACATAATATAAAAGTTATGGTAATGCAAAACTGTGACATTTGTGTAATACTTGATGCTAAAACTACACAACTCTCTTACTAGCTACAACAAACTACAAATCTACACAAAGGACACAAACACACAAACAAAACACACACCTACATAGACATACACACCAACTACCCTAACAGAGAGCCAAGGAAACTATTCTACGAACTTCACCCTCGCTGTTCAATTGTTTATATCTTGTATTCTGTGATCCCCAGACTCTGGCCCTCCAAGTCTTTTGGGACTTCTGCTTCCAGAATCTCTGGTGATTGGCCAAAGTGCCTGATGTTTCTGGGAGTCAAAGTCCAAAATACCTGGAGGACAAATGTTTGGGAATCACTGTTGATTCCCAAACACTTCCTCTGGGCTACATTTAAGAAGGAAGGAACCACACACTTTTCAGGGCCCATCTGCACTGATCATAATTTCGTGCAATTTTAAAACACTATTATAGGCAGCAACTTTGCGGTGCAGAAGTCCTGGAAACAGTTTGAGGCCTGGATGTGGATTCCACAAACCACTGAGCACTGATGTGCATTATTCATGAAAGTTTGTTGCCAGGACGCCGCAGGATTCAAACTGCATTAAAAAGGCAGAATTGAAAAAGTCATCCAGAATTTGGGAGTTTTGCATCCAGAATCTCTGACCATTGTCCAAAGCAGCCAAGGATTTACCTACTTTGCCGAACTAATACAGTCTGACACTACTCAAACTAGCATGGCTCCTTTCCTTCCCTTCATTCTTTCTTTCTTCCCTTCACTTCTTTCCTTCTTTCCTTCCCTCTTTTTCCCTTCATTCCTTCTTTCTTCCCTTCACTTCCTTCCTTCTTTCCTTCCCTCTTTTTTCCCTTCATTCCTTCTTTCTTCCCATCACTTCCTTCCTTCTTTCCTTCCCTCTTTTTTCCCTTCATTCCTTCTTTCTTTCCTTCACTTCCTTCCCCTCCTCCTCCCTCCCTCCCTCCCTTCTTCTTCCTTCCTTCCTTCCTTCTCCTTCCTTTCCCTCTTCTTCCCTTCCTTCTTTTCCCTCCCTCTTTCCTTCCCTTCTACATTCCTTCCTTCATTCCCTTCCCTTCTTTCCTTCCTTCCTTCTTTCCTACAGGCTATTAGGAATTGTGGGAGTTGGAAGTCCAAAGCACCTGGAGGGCCAAAGTTTGCCCAGGCCTGCGCTAAGCGAGGAAGTGCTGCGGGGGGGGGGGTGAAGGGGAAGCCTGCCGGGGTGGTGTACCTTTGATGTAGACGTCGTCGTCTGCGCGCATGAACCACTGGTAGGTGTCGAGGTAGCGGTCGTGCATGTACTTGAGCATCATGAAGGACTTCTTCTGGGGCGGGTAGGCGTCGTCCACGCCGGGCAGGGCCACCACGGGCAGGGGCGCCTCCCCGGGCGGCACGGGCGGCGAGGCCGAGCCCTGGCTGGAGAAGAACTCCACGCGGCCCGGGATGGAGCGCGCCCACGTCCTCCGCGCCGCCAGCGCCCGCCCGGACAGGTACTTCTGGGCGGTCATGACCCCCACGTAGAGGAAGGGACGGGCTGGGTCGGCGCAGGCGCCCGCCGGGGAGCCGAAGTCGCCGCTCCCGTTGTGGCTGCTGCTGCTGCTGCTGCTGCTGCCGTGGCGACCCTCTTCCTCTCCTCCTCCGCCTTCGCCCTCCTCGCGCCTTTCTCCGGGGCTGTCCTCGGCCAAAGGAGGCGGCGGAGGGGGAGGCTGCGGGCTCTGCGAGGGCTGCCCGCTTCTCTCCCACAGCACGCTCCTCGTCCCCTCCGCCGGGTCTTCCTCGGGCGGCAGCATCTGCCTGGGCTGGCCGTCGTCAAAGGCGCAAGGGCTGTGCCCGCCGTCGCTGCTGCTCCTGCCGCTGCTCCGGCTGCTGCTTCTCCGGCTGCTGAGGGGAGAGGAGCCCGCTCCGCCGCGCCTCTTCCTCTCGCTCAGCTCGGCCACTTTGGGCGCAATGAGCCAGGAGGCCACGGTGAAGCCCAGCACCAGACCCAGGGCCACGCTCAGCCACGGGTGGCGGGACCGCGACGCCATGCTGGGTGGGTGGCTGAAGGGAAAGAGGGAGGGAGGGAAAGGGGCGGCCCTCCCCTCGCAGCTGCCCGTCCCGCCGCCTCCTTTTCCCTCTCTCGGGCTCTTCTCCTTCTTCTCCTTCTCCTTCTTCTTCCTCCTCCGCCTCCCCTCCTCCTCCTTTCCCTCGTCACGCTTCCAGACCCGAAGGAGACCGCCTCTCCGAGTCCGCGAGGCGTGGTCGGCGCGCGCTGCAGCAGCAGCAGGAGCAGCAGCTGCAAGAAAGGAATGCAAGCGGGCTGTTGCTCTGAGTGAAACTTCTCCCTCGCCTCCCTCCGGGAAAAGACAGAGAGAAAGAGTGTCCGCTTGGCCGAGGGCGACACCTCCAGCCGGCCGCCTGCTTGCTTGCTTGCCTGCCTGCCTCGAGTGGTCCCTCCCCGCTCCTCCCACCGCTTCCGAGATGGAGGAGGAGGAGGCAGAGGAGGAGGCAGAGGAGGAGAGGCAAGCGACGCTGCGAAGAAAGGCGGCCTTCTCTGGGAGTGCCTTGGGAGGATGGGGCTCCTCTCGGAGGGGAAAGGAAGCGAGGCGCCCTCCAGTAGGCTCTGCCTCGCCCCCGCCCCCACGCGACGCCCTCTCACGCCCAGGTTGGAAAAGTGCGCGTGGCGGCAGGCAGAGGGAAGGCACACACGCAGGGGGGGGGGGCACACACACACCGCCCGAGGAGGCGCTCTCGGGGGCCCTTCCGTGGGAGTTGGCTGCCTGGCCGCTCACTTCGAACTGCACTCACACGGTCAGTGGCAATGGGGCCTCGGAAGAGGGTGGCAGCGCCCAGGGCTGGAGGGAGTTCCTCCCCACAGAGGCCTCCCTCCCCCCCCCCTCTCTGGAAGGAAGAAAAAGAAAGAGAAAGAAAGGGGGGGGAAGAAGAAGGGAGGGAAGAGGGAAGGAAGGAAAGAAAAAAGGAAGGGAGGAACAAAAGTAAGGAAAGAAAGAAGGAAAAGAGGAAGGAAGGGAAGGAAGGAAAGGAGGGGAAGAGAAGAAGGGAAAGAGTAAAAGAGGAAAGAAATGAAGGAAGGGAAGAAAGGGAAGGGTGAAGGAGAAAAAGAAGGGAGGGATGAAAACAAGGGGAAAATGGAAGGAATGGGAGGAAAGAAGGAAGGGAAGGAGGAAGGAAAGAAGAAAGGAAAAAGGACGGGAAGGAAGAAACAAAAGGAAAGAAGGAAGGGAAAGAAAGAGGAAATGAAGGAAGGAAAGGAGGGGAAGAAAGAAAGAAAGGAGGGAAGGAAAGAAGGAAGGAAAGGAGGGGAAGGGAAGGAAGAAGGAAAATAAAGAAAGAGGAAAGGAAAGAAGGGAGGGAAAAAAGAAGAAAAGATGGAAGGGAGGGATGAAAACAAGGAAGGGAATAAGGAAGGAAGGAGAGGAAAAAGGGGGAAGGAAGGAGAGAACAAAGGATGAAAAGGAAGGGAGGGAAGAAAGGAAGGAGTGAAAAGGAAGGAAAGAAGGAAGAAAAAGGAAAGAAGGGAAGAAACATGGAAGGGAACAAGGAAGGAACTCCCTCAGAGACTGTGGCCATTGGCTCCCTGCTCCTTTTCCTCTCACTTTTCTTGAGTTTTCATGCAAATCTCTCTCTTTTTTGTGTGATTCTTTTCTCAGAGACCCCTCTGCCAAGTTTGGGCTTGTCATCAAACATGAAGTTTTAAGACTTGAGATAGTGACTTTTCTCGCTGCTATATAATAGGAGAATACAGTATTTCAGATACTGGGTTGCTGTGAGTGTTCCAGGCTGTATGGCCATGTTCCAGAAGCATTCTCTCCAGATGTTTCACCCACATCTATGTCAGGCATCATGTTTGTGTGCTGCATTTGGTGGTCCCTATGCAAAAAGTATCTGCAAACCCCCACTTCCTCCAAGACAAATTGAACCACCTAAACTGGGCTCTACAGGCCAATGGGTACCCCACTACAGACATCAAAAGAGCTGCAAGAGCAAGAACAAGCCATGAGAGTAAAGACAAAGGTCTACCCAGGGGAAAGGTGTTCTTGCCATACATCAAGAGAACCACTGACCACACAGGGAAGCTGATGAAGAAAAACAACTTACAAACTATCTACAGACCCATGAAGAAAATCCAACAAATGCTACATTCAGCAAAGGACAAGAGGAATCCTCTTACCTCTGCTGGAGTCTACTGTGTACCATGCACTGTGGTCAAGTCTACATAGGGCATTGCAGCATTGCGCAAACGCAGCATTGCCCAAACATGAATCAAGGAACATGAAAGGCACTGCAGACTACTTCAACCAGAGAAGTCAGCCATAGCAGAACACCTTATGAATCAACCTGGACACAGCATATTATTTGAGAACACAGAAATGCTGGACCACTCTCACAACCACCATGTCAGGCTACACAGAGAAGCCACTGAAATCCACAAGCATGTGGACAATTTCAACAGAAAGGAGGAAAGCATGAAAATGAACAAAACCTGACTACCAGTTTAAAAACTCTAATATCAGGACAGTAAAGAAAGAACAACACTCAAAAACAGGGGAATTCCAGACAAGAATCAATCAGGGCCAACTAATCACCTCCCAACAAAGGATTCCCCCAAGCAGGAAGCAACCAAATCTTGAAGCTGCAAGGCTATTCAGTGCTAATCAAGGTGATCAATTGAAGCATTCAGACTTGCCTCCAACAGACAAGAGTTCTTTCTCCCACCAAGGACATTCCCTAGATGAGTAGACCCCACTTGCCTAGTTTCCAACAGACCTCACAACCTCTGAGGATGCCTGCCATAGATGTGAGCAAAACGTCAGGAGAGAAAGCCTCTGCAACATGACCATACAGCCCGGAAAACTCACAAGAACCCTGCATCAATTCTTCCTTGTATAGAAACAGGATAGGAATTAGGGAAAAGAAAGCAATTAGAAGTAGCACAGGAAAAGTCCAATACTGTCCCCATCAGGATGATGAGATACTTAGTATCCCCCTTCATCTCAGTTATTCAGAAGCAGGAAAGCAGTGACGCCATGATAGAGAAGGAAGGGAAATTGAAGAATAACTATCATGTTTGGCCTTCTGGTTATAACGGACCATTTGTGGGGCACATGAATAAGAACCAAACCACAGCCTTTTGACCATCAGGGCTTCTGCTGAGCAAGTCTGAATTTTTGTTTAGTCAGGTCACCGAGGTGCTAAGAAAAGTAAAGAGATCCCTTGTTTGCGCTTATGGGAGGATAATCCTCAGGGTTCACTTGGGAAAAGGGAACGACTGTTAAACCAGTTTAATACTTTCGTGCTGAACTGATATGCCCTCTGTGCAGCACTTCGAAAGTTTTCAGAACCACCATAATAACATACTGCAGCCACCCATAACTGAGCAGCAGTAAGAAGGTGCGCTCTCTTTATGGATCTCTTCGCTGTGTACAGGCAGTCTTCTTTGAAGTAGCTTTCCAACTTCTGCCTCTGAGGGCAGCTAGCTCATGCTGAAGTCTTCATTTGAGCCAAGGGTCAGCCTCAGAACATGTTTTATCAAAGCCAAGAGTCACTTCTAGAACACATGATGTAACATAACACAGGGTTTCTGAAGATATGTATGCCATATTTTCCTCCAGTTTGGAGTAACCGCAGACAGTTACTCTAGTTTGGAGTAACCGCAGACACACTATAGAAATTTGAGGAAGTAACTTTTAGGGGAGAAGTGATGCCTGCACAAGAGGATTGAGAATTTCAGGTTCTCCTTGTAGAGACCAGCCACTAGGTAGAACTGCAAAGCATAAAAAGAGAGAACATACATACATGCAGCCCTTGCTAAAAATGTTTCATGTGTACAGCACATGCATTTGTACACTGCAGGGAGCCACTGGACTTGAATCCTGCAGGAAGTTTATCCATGAACAACAAAAATGCATGTATGTTATGGTATTTACGTGCCAATTTCCTAAAGGTATATAATAGCATCTCGACTTAGAGTGTATCTACATAGTAGAATTGGTGGAGTTTGAAACTACATTAATTGCTGTGGCTCAATGCTATGAAATAATGGGAGTTGTAGTTTGATGAGGCACTAGCACTCTTTGGCAGAGATGGCTAACAACCAACTCCCATGATTCTACAGAACAGGCGCAGGCAAACTTTGGCCCTCCAGGTGTTTTGTTCTGTTAGGAATTGTGGGAGTTGAAGTCCAAAACACCTGGAGGGCCAAAGTTTGCCTGTGCCTGTTCTATAGCATCCAACTATAGTGATTAATTCTACAGCCTAGAAGGAGAAAAAAAATTTTTCCTAGTAGTAAGAGTAAATGGGTCTTGCAGTAGCATCTTTGAAATGAGAGAAGGACTTTGTACATCTATGAATTTTCAAAGGACCGAATAGGGAAAGTTATAACCTTTGAGAAACTAGGTGCTCTCCATCTGGACACAGAAGTAGGGATTAGTGCTGAACAAGAACAGACCAGTGATTGAGGTGTGATCAACATACAAACACTACTTACTTTAGTTCTGCGATAGCATATAGATCACTTAATTCATGATGTTGTTGCCCATAAAAGTTCATTAATCTAGGCAAACTATCAAAGAGATCCATGGGTAAAATAATGACCTAAAGACTCTTTATCAGCAATACTGTAGACATTGTTGTTACCAAAAACACCAACCAACAATTATGCAGATATTATATGATCAAAGTTATATAGCAGACAGATGCATAACCTACATATAGAATCATAGAATCAAAGAGTTGGAAGAGACCTCATGGGCCATCCAGTCCAAGCCCCTGCCAAGAAGCAGGAATATTGCATTCAAATCACCCCTGACAGATGGCCATCCAGCCTCTGTTTAAAAGCTTCCAAAGAAGGAGCCTCCACCACACTCCGGGGCAGAGAGTTCCACTGCTGAATGGCTCTCACAGTCAGGAAGTTCTTCCTCATGTTCAGAAGGAATCTCCTCTCTTGTAGTTTGAAGCCATTGTTCCGCGTCCTAGTCTCAGAGAAGCAGAAAACAAGCTTGCTCCCTCCTCCCTGTGGCTTCCTCTCACATATTTATACATGGCTATCATATCCCCTCTCAGCCTTCTCTTCTTCAGGCTAAACATGCCCAGCTCCTTAAGCCGCTCCTCATAGGGCTTGTTCTCCAGACCTTTTATCATTTTAGTCGCTCTCCTCTGGACACATTCCAATATGATTTTGAGTATTGCATTTCTATACAATATACTAAGGTTATTCAGAAGGTAAGGTTACAAGGCACATAGCTCTTGCAGGGATTTTTTGCAAGGGAAGTTAGTATCACTGCTATGTAGTGGGAAGCCAGCAGAAGCGAATGAGCAGTGTCAGTCATCAGTTGCTCATCGACTGGCATTGTGAAGGTTAGAGATGAGCGTCCTCATTCCGTTTCCCTCCAAGTTTGCACTGTAATACACTACCTAAATGCTAAGGGCATGAATGCTGCTGCGATTCATCATGATATCATTTCAGTTTATGGAGAGGACGTAATGTCAAAACAGCATGTGACAAAATGGGTATGGAATATATTGTGAGGCCATGAAGAAACTTTGCAGACCCATCAAAAACAAATATTGTGGGATGCTGACAGCAGGAGTCTGTCTCCTTCATGACAATGTGTGTCCACACACCGCTCATGCAACACAAGATTGTTGACTTCATTTGGTTGGGATGTTTTAAGCC